AAACACTTCAAAATGCGCGGGGTCTCGTCCTGCAAAAGGCGGATGGTGTGATGGCAAAAATCTCGGAGGTCAAGGGGGCTGAAGTGTAAGCCACCCACTATGCGCGAGAGCACATGTGAGGCGTGTTTCAAAGCCCTGCCAGCGTAAAAGCCCGAAGCGTATTGCAACAAACCCTGCAAGACCTGGGCAAGCTGCCTGCTAATCTCACCCCTAGAACCAACCTCCCGAAGCTGGGCCACAATGCGCTCGATGCGACCCTGCTTGTTGGCAAGGCTCACCTCTCCTTGGGCTACCCTGTCTAGGCCCAAGGTCATCCCCAAGACGTCAAAGCTTGGAGCAAAAGCACGGCCCTTCACACCCGTCTTGGCGTGACGCCACCCCAGGCAATCCAAGAAGTCGCTCACAACCGAGTCAGCACTGTCGGCCGTGGCCGCTGGACACAGCAGGGGGTAGTCGTCGAAGTACACCCCGGAAGGAATCCAGAGCAGTCGATTGATCAAGAACCACAAGCAACGGCTCACCCGGTTAAAGGCATACACTGCTGCGGTGCTGCCAAAAAGCAAGCTGTTTCACAGGTACAGGGCGTCGCGCCCATCCTCTTGCCGCACTGCTATGACTGCCAGAGGCCGGTGGGCTGGCAGAACTGCAAGCTGTTTATACGCTTTGCTCAAGTCAAGGCACTTGCCGTGCCACTCCTTCGCCTCGGGGTGCGCCCTGCCCTCGTGGATCTCGCGGGCCACGTACAGGGCCATGGCGGCCAGGTAGTCCCCGTCTTGCAAACGCAAGTGGATGCTCGATGTGTACCCCGAGTTCAGCTGGGCCTCGAGGCAGTTGTCGATTGGGCGTGCCTTGCCCTCAGCACCCTGGAAGATGACGAAGCGGCGTATCACCGTCCAGTCCTCTGTCTCGAGTCGGGATGAAACTTCATCCCTGCTGTAAAACGGCCCCTCAAGGAAACCGAGCGACACCTCCTCTTGAGATGCCTCCGCCAAGACTCTTGCCTCCTCAGCATCAATCGGCTCGGACTTGCTCAAAAGCGCCTCCCGTCTGACCTGTGCAGTCTGGAAGAGTTCGGCTTCAGTCAAGGCCGCGGGCACAAGCTTGTAGTCGAAGCACGGAGGGCACTCTGATACCCCCACCAAAGGCACCCCCTCCTTAAGGAATTTGATGGCTCCCATGTCGTCATATCCCTCCGACTGCAACAAAGCTTCAAGGGCAAGGATGGCCTTGCCCTCCATGACCTTGGCCACCGAGCGTGGCATTGATTTGTGAAGCGCCCTCTCCTCAGCTCGGAATCTGTCCACCTCTCGTCTCACCCTAGCCAGAGCAAGCCGACGCTTCAACTCCACCAGCTTTGGGTCCTTGGTGAGGTTCTCCCTCAAGGCCGCGAGCGTCACAGCCTCCAAAGGATTGGCAGAATCCATTGGGTGCGGCACCTTCTTCGCCTCATCCACAAACTCAGAAGGACTCCTAAGAACCCCTACCTGAACCCAATCCTCACAACCATCCTGCAAAGGCGAACCACTAGGAGTTCCAGGCTCAAGCGACGCAAAGGCTGAGGTCTCCGGGATGCTCCCTCCCTGAACAGCGCCTGACAAAATCGGGGCTCCAGGGATGGTCCCTCCCTGAAGGGTGCTAGTGGAACCAGGGGCTTCAGGGATGGTCCCTCCCTGAAGGGTGCTAGGGGAACCCGGGGCCTCAGGAGCCTCAGGGATGGTCCCTCCCTGAGGGGTGCCAGGGGAGAGCGGGGCTCCAGGGATGGTCCCCGAAGGATGCCTAGGTCCTGCTGCGCCAGAACACCCCCTATCGAAGGGCGCAGAAGCTTCAGGTGAGGCAAAGGGGCAAAAGACTGCCGAGGCATCCACGTGACCTGGCAGAACTCTGACACGAGAGGAGCATGTCTGCGGTGCTGTCTGCCGGCGAACTGCAAAGCTTGACTCCGCGCGGTGGGTTGGGGGATCAACGAAAAACCCGCCGCTAGCGCCCGCTGGGCCACGCAGAGAGAATACCTCTGTGCAAGGATACAAGGATACGCTGCCTCATCCTTGGTTGCAAAACGCACACTCCCGCAGTCGACAATCCTGCCCCACGGCTTGTGAAGGTGATTTCCCGGGCAGGATGCACGGAGCGACTCAAAGCACTTGGGGGAGCACAGCAGCTTGGTTCCTTTGGGCCTGGAGCCCCCATGGCAGCACTGGTCAAAGCACACCTCAGAAAGACGGGGCAGGAGGCGTTGACTGGGCTCAGACGGCTCGAACGCCGCAAGAATCTCCCACAAGAAACTATTGCGCGGGTTCTCAATGCAAACTATGATGCAATTGTCCAGACAATATCTCAGCACTCTATAGCCGAAAGCATAGAGCCGATTGGCAGTGTCAACCCGACAAGAGTCCACAGAGCCAGGCTGTAAGCTGGGCAGCCCCAGCGGGAATTCGCGGCTGCGCAGGGGAGACGGCCCCTTCTCACCATTTGGCAAAGGCCTGCCTCGCGCCTTGCTGCTTGTCCCACACGGCAAACCAAGATGCACGAGGAACGGAGGATGTTTCTTCATCAGATCCCAGAAAAGGCTCTGCCCTACTTCAGAGGACAGGTCAAGTTGAGCTACCGGCACACAGGAGTCACAATGGTGATGGTCAAAGCTATGCACGTGAAAGCCTGCCTGGCGCAAGGCACGGGACAACGAACCCTTCCCAGCAAACAACTCAAAGGCGCAGGGAGGCCTAGAAAGTGTTTGTGATGTCTCAAGCGGGATGGGAAGCTCCGGTGGCAGCTGGAATCCTAAGGCCCGCGCCCTAGCCAGCTCTGCTTCACCCAAGTCCTCGAGCTGCTGAACGACCCACGTCACCAAGACAAGCCTATTGCCAGTCCAAGGCTCAGTCTGATGGTAGTTTGACCATGCATCGAAAACTAACGGCTCGGAAGTAAGCTCATGCACGCTGCCACTCAACTCAAGCTGACCGGAAACCCGCACGTCGTCACCTGGTCCCTCAATCCACAATCCGCCGCCCTTGAAGTCTGTGACTCGGAACAAGGCATTAGGCCAAGGTGCGTTGCGCCCATCCTTATGAAGAGGGGTCGCACTGTTTGAAAAGAAGCCACAAGTGGAGAACACATGACCGGGAAGACGCTCCTGGACGAAGCGGGTCATAATTCGGCTTGCAAGCGGAAAATTGTGACACTCCTTGCGCAACCCACGAAAACCTCCCTGGGCATAGCAACCAGTCACGAAAGCACTACGCACCTCACGCGAACCTCCTCGCACCTCATCCTTCGGAAGCAAACCAAAGAGCGACTGAAGGTCGGACTCCGAGATCTGTGCAGCACTCTTCAAACGCGTTTGTGCCCAAACCTCAGGATCCACTAAGGACAGATCCCCAGTTTCCAGTGCGCCACAATTCACCCCTCCAGAGTCCGGCGCATCCTCTGGGGGGCCCCGTCAAGAACCCCCTTTAGGGCAATTAGCAAAAGGGTGACTTCCAAAGCAGCCCTTACGCCAACACTTGTGGAAACCCTTGAGGCACCTGCCGTTCTTGCACTTGTTCTTGCACCCATGCGTGTTGTATGCAAAGCACAGCGGACGGTTGGCATCGTCCTTCGTTACACACCCCTCGGGAAGATCAAGCGTCTTGCCAGCGCCTTTCCCCTTCTTCTCCTTGCCAGCGCCCTTTCCTCCCTTGTCCCCTGGCTTGCCCCCATGCAGGAACTGGTGCGGCGGAGGATTCGGCAAGGGGGCCAAGTATTGCATGATCTCGGGACTACGTGAAAGGCGGGTGATCTCGGCATCGAGAACTGGATCTGTGCCCGCAGGTGCTGTCAACCTGCCCATCAGGTTATTACTTGCAAGAATGAACAGCTGCTTGTCGGCCTCAATGATCTGCGACAACTGAACTCCTGCAAATCCCTTTGGCTGAACTCGCTGCAAAACTGAGAACAGGAACTGAACATGCTCCTCCAGCACACGAAAAGAAGCGAGATTAGCCATGTCGAAAGCCAGCGACCTTCTGCTCCAAGCTTGCCGAAGGCGCATCTCTGAAGCCACGTCGCACGCGAGCTCATGTGGCTTCATAGTCACCTTCAAGCTATGATCAGCTGCAAGATTGACGCTACTGTCGCGCTTGAGGCACTGGGCTTCCTGAGCTCGGCTGATCCACTTGCTAGGAGGATGATATTGCAAGACGCCTGATTCCAGCATCTCAACACAAAGGTCCACGCATGAGTTCGCCGGCCGGGTCTCAGGAGTGAAGACCAAGCCGCCCAGAGTCCTCTCCTGGCGAGCCTGCCTGTCCATGCGCTCGGCAGCTGCTAACCTCTTCGGATGTCCTTCCACCCCGGGCTCGATCCGTGACTTGACCTCTTCAATGGCCATGCTGACGCCATCGAAGAGAAGGCGGCGCAGGCTCGCCTTCTGGTAGCCGGTGGGACTGATGCCAAGACCGTTGATCCACGCGTCCACAGCCTCATCAGTCAAGGTGGTAGGCGTCGCCGACACAGCGAAAGCCAAGCGCCCGAACGTGGTGTAACCATTGTCCACCAGGCCCTGGATGGTCTCTTCGGTGAGGCCAATCTTCGTAGCTCTATCCAAGAAAGCCGCCTCTGAATCCAGGTTCGCTGAAGCCATGACTCACACCGTGCGGCGTAGGCACTCAAAGGCTGATCGAATGATCCCTTTGAACTACAATATAATCTGAAAAGAACTCGCCAAAATTGAAATCTCGGCATGAAGTCACAGATGAACTGACACCATGCGTGCACGTGTATCCTTAGAAAGCTCTTCCTCGCTGGAGCCTCTCATCTGCCATTGACATGAAAGTCCACTGGATGCTCAACTGCCATGTCTTTGCAGCAACGCGCCCCCTCTATCGAGTGCCATCTCCCAGGCACCCAGGGTCGCGATCCTCTCGCACATCAGCACCCAGAAGAACACCTCGCTCACAGGGCCGCTCCCAGGCCCCTGAGGTTGTAAACTCCTCTTTTGACTTTCACAGCAGTGATGTCTCTCTCTACTCGCCCATGGCGCGCGAACACTGCAAGCAGACGTCGGGATCCTCAGCTCCCACGCCCTCATATGAAGAGTATCTCTCGGTGCAAAGCCTCCCGCACAAGAAGACGCCATCCTCCCTCAAGCAGTGCGCTATGCCCGAAGTCATATGGATTCTACACTTGGCCAGGTCGACGTTCGCAAAAGGAGCCCTCACCAGCTTCGGACCTGGGACGTCGAAAGGTTCAGGTTCCTCTGGCTCCGAAGCGGAACCATCAGAGTCAGCCTCCAGCTCCACCGGTGGCTCCAAACCCGAAACTTGCCGCCGTCCTCCCTCAGTACTGGCCGACTGCACTCCCTTCTCCAAAGCATCCGCCACCTGCATGACACGTGATGCTGGATCCAGATCTGGGTCGAAGGCCCCGCTTCGAATGGTTCGGTAGAGCGCGAGAACCTTTCCAGCCAAACTCGTGTATGCTTCCCGACTGTAGGTCACCATGCTCTTCACCTTCGGGAGGACGTGGTGGCCCAGAAGCAAGCGTTCATCATCGGTCAGCTTTATGATAGTCGATCGCCCTGCCCACGTCAACAAAGTGGTCTTCAAGGAATGCGTGCCGATGCGCTGGTTCTCTACCCCAGTGTCTGCCAGCCAGTCCTGAATCCAAGCTGTCGCTTCCGCGGAACCCATTTCGGTCGAACCCCAGGTGTCCAGCCTCAATGACCATGTAGGCAGAGCAAAACCATCAGCGCCCTCACCAAATGTGAGGCCGCAACTCGCCCTCGCATCTAGCCAAAGTTTTCCCCATCCACACTCTGTCAAGCCTTGCGCAAGAGCTGCATACGGCGTGAATCGGGTTTTGGCCTCCTTGCTGTGCGAAGTTTTACTTCCCAGTGCTTCGGCGAAAATCAGCTGGCTTTCTCCGTCTCCCAGAAGATGCACAGCCTTCAATCGCTGTGAGTCCTTCCATCGGCACACCGCATGCAGGCAGAAAAGAACATGACCCAAAACGCAGCGCTCCACCTCTCCAGCTCTCACCATGATGTGCTCCAGAGTCATGGCCTGTTTGCACTTCAGTGAATCCCTCTGAACCAGGGGCTGCTTTCCCAAGAAGGACGAATGAGCCAGACCCTTGCACCTCGCAGAAATGACAACCTTGAGATCCATGCACCGGAAATGTACCACGGCATGCATGAAGTGCAGAGCCTCCAAAACATGTGAAGGAGCTGACGCACCGCAGCCACTGTCCCGCATGGCCGACAGCGCCGAATACAAATCGGACTCTTCCATCCTCCATGGAGATCCAACGCCTTGCTTAAAGAGCTGGACCACCAGACGGTGCAACGACCCTGCTCTCTTGGTGAGGGTGCCCGCCGCCTTCTGTGCGAAGGCATCGCAAAAACTAGCCGCCACCAGATCTTCGTCTTCTAGCTCACCCGTTTTCAGCATCAAGTGTCTCCCTAGGTTCGTAGCCATAGGGTCCAAGAGCACCATGACCTTGAGCTTCTTTAGGGCATGGTTCCTCTCATCTTCGTCACTACGCACGATGCGGATTCTCTGCAGCCTTCGTTGCACAGTCCAAGGAATCTCTTGAAAATCATCACTGCGAAGCTCGACATCAGGATCCGGAGGGTTAACTGTCTCTCGAATCCCCACGCTGGGGGTCATGGCAAGCCAGCTGGTCAAAGATGCCGTGAACGGGTCGCCTCCAAACACAGGGTGGTCCTGCCAAGCCTGTTTGGGACCCTCCGCCCTCAACTTCTTGAAAGACATCTCTGCAGCCAGTTTAACAAAGGCCTCGTCACTGAGCCGAGCCCGCATCTTCGAAGAGCTGGCCGGTTCTGCTACTTCAGCAGCGCACACAGAAGGCTCTCCCAGATGTTCAAAGGATAAGGGCTTCTCCGGAAAAGCACCCACCTCATGAACTGGTGACGGAGGTCTGTCCTCCCGAACTGCGTTGTACCAATCAGCTTCATCTACCAAAGATGGCTCATAATCAAACAACTCCTCTTCACGGGCAAACTCACCAAAAGGCTTCGGATCCCAAACACCCCCTGAAATTGAAGGCTCCGAAGGCTGAACCACGTCCCAAGAAGGAGCTGAACCTGCAGGGGAGGATGAAGATTGTGTTTCTTCCATCACGAAGACAGAGGAAGGAGCTCACGAAGGCGATTCTGGGCTCCACGATCACAAGCAGAAAAGCAATACCAATCCCGCTCTCGAAGAAAGATCAGCACCCTTGAACCCTCTGCCAAACTGACCAGCACACCCTGCAGGGTAGCAGTCAACACGTACGTGAAGATGGACGGCGGGCTCTGCAAGCGCCTGAGCAGCAGACCAAGATGGAAAGCACGAGGTCGGAGCACGACCGGCACCAGGGCAGGCAACTGAGGCACAGCCTCCCAGTCCCAGCTCAGGCTTGATGCACTCGAATCTTCAGAGGACCAAGCGCTCGCGTCCATCAACAAGAAAATTTTCCTTCCCCTGGCTCAAAGAAAGGTTTGAGACTGCACGGGCCCAAAGTCATGCACAAGCCTATTTTGCTCACAAAACTTCCATGTACATGCTGAGGAAAATTTTCCACAAAGACAAGAGCATCTCGTGCATACATGCAAAGTACAATGGAGTATTCAAAGCTGCATGAAGGCGTCCGAGCTGGAGAACTTGTAACATCCCAGCCGTCCATTAAAAAAAAAAAAAAAAAAAAAGGGGGGGGGGCAACCTACACCAAGGCCCCCCGCCGCGACATCATGAGCACCAGAAAACCCGCCCGGCCCCTCCCGGGCTTCCCGCACCCAAGGGAAAGAGAGTCTAGTCGGCAAGCCGAAAACGCCCTTGTTTTACTCGCAACGAGGAGCTGTGAAAGCCAGATCTGGCTTCCCGTGTGTGAAAAAAACGCCACAACTGGGCCCAAAAATGGCTCCTAAACTTGGGTTCCAATTTGAGGCTCCAACCTGGGTGGCCTTGTATGTTCACACAGGAAATCCAAAATCTAGGGCCCGTTTTCGGTGCCCAGAATTGAGCTGCTTTTGGAACCCATTTGAGTTCAATAATAATTGAAAATCAACTCACAGACAAACAAGATTTTTTCTATTCGATACTGTTTGCATCAACACTCAAGAAAACAAAAAAACGCGGTTGATACGCGTGTTCTTATCTTGCTAAACTTGTCTTTAGCTGGCATTCAAGACAACAGTCTTGCATTGTTCCCGTGCGATCTTTCTCGCACTGTGGAGGTCACTTCGGCTTGCCTACCTTTTGGAGTTGATTCCTTGCCCTCTTTTTGTGTCTCCAAAACCACACACCTTTCACCACCCGCACACTTCCACACTTGAACAGCCAGCAGAACCCAGACAGACACGCAAACGCACACCACCCACTGAAGCCACTTTGCACCTCATAATGACACACTTCATGACACACACGACTCTCTGCCAAAACGCCGAAACCACAACACCACACACCCATTCGAGAAAACGATGTAAACACACACACACACACACACACACACACACACACACACACACACACACACACACACACAACACACACACACACACCACACACACACACACACACCACACACCCACCACACACACACACACACACACACACACACACACACACACCACACACACAACACACACACACACACACACACACACACACACACACACACACACACACTACAAACAACACACACACACACACACACACACACACACCACACACACACACACACACACACACCACACACACACACACACACCACACACACACACACACACACACACACACACACACACACACACAGACACCACTGCAAGGTCACTGTTTTTTTTTTGGTGTCACTTCTGCGACTCCATGCCTGACCACCCTTTGCCCACACTGACACTTTTCTTGCACACTGAAGCCAAAAGGCACAGAAACGGCACACACAGCGACCAAAAATGAAGGCACAGAAAGGCACCACACAGCGACCAAAAAGAAGGTGCAGAAAAGGAACCACACAGCAACCAAAAATGAAGACACAGAAAATGCAAACACAACCAAAAAGTGAAGGCACAGAAAGGCACCAACACAGCGACCAAAATGAAGGCAGCACCTCACAGCAACCCAACAGCAACGGAAAAATTTAAGCACAGAGACTGCAACCCAACAGCACCAAAAAATGAAGCACAGAAAAAAAACACATGCACCCGCAAACCAACCCACTTTGTTGCAACAAATTACACACACACACACACATCCACAACACTCTTGCACATGCACACTCAGAAAAACAGCCGAAACGACAAAATGCACATTCTTATAATGTCTTTTAGTTCCGATTGCATTTTTTTCACCGTCTTCCTGGTCAATCGACAGCTTGCCGGGCACTTACCAAAACACTTGCTGACTGTTTGTGTTTTAGTTCAAAGCGTTTTCTCGAAATTTTCTCTTTCTGAAGCTTGCAACCGAGAGATCATCCCAACAAAACGTAAAGAAAACATTGAACAAAAGCAAGAGAAAATTCTTTTCAGACGGGCCAAGGAAAAAGCAATGTTTTTGTAGTTCTTGCAAAAATTCCAAAAAAAAACAATCACACTGACCTCTCATCATGGCCAGAACGACTTGAGAGTCGCCCAGCCTCGATTTTCATTCCCATTCGACTTTTTTGACAAAGCTTCGATTGCGTGCTCTTGTCTTTAATTTTCCAAAATGGCCAAACAGAAATTCAAGGCACACTGAAATTTGACAGAAGATTGAGCAGAAGAAACTCTGCTTTCTTTTTAGGCTGGGTGCCCTTAATTCTTTGTCTTTCGTTTTTGGTTGCGTGTTGCAATTCTTCCCTGGATTCAGCACCATTCAACGAATTTTCAAAATTTCTGAAGTCCCGAAAATGTTGAAAAAACCCTCAAAATCAACACTTGATCAGTTAAATTTGTTGAATTTACTCTGGTGTTTCGCTCGCTTCGCTCGCACTTATTCACATTCTGGAAATACACTTTGCAATTTTCAGGTGGTTTGGCTTGGGCGTCGCGCGCAACCTTAACGAATCGACACCAGGGTTGAACTCGTCTCGTCCCGCAGTTGATTTCTGTCCAAACGGCACTGTCAGAGGCTTTTAAAAACACTTGTTTCAAAGCATTGAACTTTTCCAAGCTGTTTCCACCGATGTTGACTCTGCACCCTTCTTTTATCCTCTTCTGCCTTCAGGCCTTGCACCAAAACCTGGAGAATCTGAAAACCAAGATGAGGGGCAGCAAAGTTGATCGAAAAGGTAGGGAAGCTCCAGTGACCTCCACAGTTAGAGAAAGTTCCGGTTCCAAACAAGTTCACACTTTGCCGCCTTGCTGCCTGCTGTTCTAATTTTGGGGGAAGACTGACACAGGACTTAGACTGGAACCGACTGAGAGGCTTATTTGTTTTACTCGCAACGAGGAGCTGTGAAAGCCAGATCTGGCTTCCCGTGTGTGAAAAAAACGCCACAACTGGGCCCAAAAATGGCTCCTAAACTTGGGTTCCAATTTGAGGCTCCAACCTGGGTGGCCTTGTATGTTCACACAGGAAATCCAAAATCTAGGGCCCGTTTTCGGTGCCCAGAATTGAGCTGCTTTTGGAACCCATTTGAGTTCAATAATAATTGAAAATCAACTCACAGACAAACAAGATTTTTTCTATTCGATACTGTTTGCATCAACACTCAAGAAAACAAAAAACGCGGTTGATACGCGTGTTCTTATCTTGCTAAACTTGTCTTTAGCTGGCATTCAAGACAACAGTCTTGCATTGTTCCCGTGCGATCTTTCTCGCACTGTGGAGGTCACTTCGGCTTCCCTACCTTTTGGAGTTGATTCCTTGCCCTCTTTTTGTGTCTCCAAAATCCACACACCTTTCACCACCCGCACACTTCCACACTTGAACAGCCAGCAGAACCCAGCCGACAGACACGCAAACGCACACCACCCACTGAAGCCACTTTGCACCTAAGAATGACACACTCCATGACACACACGACTCTCTGCCAAAACGCCGAAACCACAACACCACACACCCATTCGAGAAAACGATGTAAACACACACACACACACACACACAGACACCACTGCAAGGTCACTGTTTTTTTTTGGTGTCACTTCTGCGACTCCATGCCTTACCACCCTTTACCCACACTGACACTTTTCTTGCACACTGAAGCCAAAAGGCACAGAAACGGCACACACAGCGACCAAAAATGAAGGCACAGAAAGGCACCACACAGCGACCAAAAGAAGGTGCAGAAAAGGCACCACACAGCGACCAAAAATGAAGACACAGAAAATGCAAAACACAACCAAAAAGTGAAGGCACAGAAAGGCACCAACACAGCGACCAAAATGAAGGCAGCACCTCACAGCAACCCAACAGCAACGGAAAAATTTAAGCACAGAGACTGCAACCCAACAGCACCAAAAAATGAAGCACAGAAAAAAAAAACATGCACCCGCAAACCAACCCACTTTGTTGCAACAAATTACACACACACACACACACACACATCCACAACACTCTTGCACATGCACACTCAGAAAAACAGCCGAAACGACAAAATGCACATTCTTATAATGTCTTTTAGTTCCGATTGCATTTTTTTCACCGTCTTTCTGGTCAATCGACAGCTTGCCGGGCACTTACCAAAACACTTGCTGACTGTTTGTGTTTTAGTTCAAAGCGGTTTCTCGAAATTTTCTCTTTCTGAAGCTTGCAACCGAGAGATCATCCCGACAAAAAGTAAAGAAAACATTGAACAAAAGCAAGAGAAAATTCTTTTTCAGACGGGCCAAGGAAAAAGCAATGTTTTTGTAGTTCTTGCAAAAATTCCAAAAAAAACAATCACACTGACCTCTCATCATGGCCAGAACGACTTGAGAGTCGCCCAGCCTCGATTTTCATTCCCATTCGACTTTTTTGACAAAGCTTCGATTGCGTGCTCTTGTCTTTAATTTTCCAAAATGGCCAAACAGAAATTCAAGGCACACTGAAATTTGACAGAAGATTGAGCAGAAGAAACTCTGCTTTCTTTTTAGGCTGGGTGCCCTTAATTCTTTGTCTTTCGTTTTTGGTTGCGTGTTGCAATTCTTCCCTGGATTCAGCACCATTCAACGAATTTTCAAAATTTCTGAAGTCCCGAAAATGTTGAAAAAACCCTCAAAATCAACACTTGATCAGTTAAATTTGTTGAATTTACTCTGGTGTTTCGCTCGCTTCGCTCGCACTTATTCACATTCTGGAAATACACTTTGCAATTTTCAGGTGGTTTGGCTTGGGCGTCGCGCGCAACCTTAACGAATCAACACCAGGGTTGAACTCGTCTCGTCCCGCAGTTGATTTCTGTCCAAACGGCACTGTCAGAGGCTTTTAAAAACACTTGTTTCAAAGCATTGAACTTTTCCAAGCTGTTTCCACCGATGTTGACTCTGCACCCTTCTTTTCTCCTCTT